ATTGATTGGCTCCTATTTTTTTCAGTGGCCACTGTATCACATCACTCAGTACAGTGGTGCATTTGGCAGTTTGTTTCCGATCTACTGAGGTCTACCGTAGATCTCCAGAAGCTCCAGAGATTAAGCACAAGTCTCTGTGCAAGGTGGTATTGCTCCAGGCGCTGGTGATTGGATTATTAATGCTTACTGACAGGTTGCACCACGCCCATTTTAAAAGAAAAAAGAAGGGAAATAGTTTGAAAAGAAAGTTTGCCAATTGAACAAAACCAATGAATATTGATGCATTTTTACATCCCAGCAAGAACACTAAATGTAAACATTAACTATAGAAATGTACAAATGAAAGTGGGACGCAGAATATGATTTGCTGTGTCCAAAACTTCATTTTCCTTCCCATTGTTCCCCTTTCTGTGGAGCTCTTCATATTTTTTGCTCTTAACTCCTCCAAGTTATTGCTATACATCACTGTAACACTTCAGAACCCTACCTCTCCCATTTCAACTTTGCTCTGACACAGTTATGGCATTTCTACTCAAGTTAAATTTGCAGAATCACTTCCTTCCCAACTATTTTACAATGCCTATAATCCAGGCCATGGTATATTCTGCCTGGTCTGTAATATCTTCAATTTGGCCAGACTCCAATTCTTTAACTTTTAATCACATCCAGAATACAACTGCTTATCTTATCCTTTCTCTACTTTGCTTTTTCCACCTTGCTACTTACTCCTCTGCTTCTTCTTGCTTCCAGTTGCTGAATGGCAACACGCCCAGTTCAAATGCCTAGTTCTCCTTGTCTCAACCTTTCTGTTTCTGCCTATCTTTCTCCATTATTTCTCCTTGCTCCACCTCTCACCCTTTCTGCTCTTCCTTTTCACCCAGTCTTGGTTGTATATGGGGTAATTTCCCCACATAAAAAAACATCTTTAAAGGTAATAAATAATAAAAAGAAGAGGTGGAAAGCTGAAAGTCCATTTTATTTTTAAATGTATCGGTTTCCAGGGCTCATGTATCACTCCAAACCTGTACAACATGTTTAGAAACAAAAGTAATAGGCCAATTCTAAGTAATATTTTTTAATTGAAACTGACAAGTTGAATTATTCATACTAAAGCAGCAGGAACCGGACCAACACAAAGAGGAATTTTCTCCAAAGATCCTGCAAACTACAATACTTTATTTCTAGGCAGGTCATCAGGTTTATCAGGTCAAGGTCTTTATCTGATAACTGTGCAATTAATCAGATTAATTGGTAAAACACCCTTTCTGAGAATATGTTAAAATATAATTTGTAAAGATAGCATGTAAAGATGTGTAAAAGTATCCGTTATCCAATATTTCAGTCATATCATATGCTTGAACACAGATCACCCTTGAAACTGCAAGATCCTCAGCCTAGGACTGTTGGCACCAGCACAAATTGGCAAGTGATTTTTTTTTTTAAAAGTTGCACAAGCTCAAATAAACAGAAACTTGGCAGACTTTCTGAGAGTTTTGTACCCACTACCAACAAACACAAACACATACAGTATGTATGAATCAGATTGCTTAAAAATGTCCATAAAACCTACAAAGCTCTATCAAATGGACAGAGCAGTGATTATATTTAGTATAATATAATTATAATATATATTGTATTAAACATAGTACATACAATATATATTATATTATAGTCACATTTGCACTTATTTCCATCACAAATCTTGCATTTGTACATATGTACAGTATATAGCATTGTGAAAGGAATGGAATATATATGCAGTTACCTTTGCAGATAATTTTTTCCTGCTTCTTTATTCTGTACTGTATATCCAGGTAAAATTGAGCTCCACAAAATGACATTAAATGCAAGCAGTGTCATGTAGCGCCTGGACATGAGTTGCAGTGGTGTGAGATTTGGTTAAAAGTTGCGTGAGACTGGGAGCTTACATCAATCTTCACAGCCCAACTGTCATCATTTCAGTATTTTGTAGCTGTTGGGCACAACTGTTCAGACAGGATAGTTATAGCAGAAGAATCTCTTTGCTGCTCTTTTTTTCTTTCTTTCTAAGTAACCACAAACAAAGTTTAGTGCAGATTTTTCTCTTTCAAATCTTTCAGCAGGACTTTTTCTTTGATGATGTGTTGTAAAGTAAAATCTGGATTTGCACATCACAATCATATTGTAGTTAATGTGAATGGATTGTTCCATTGTATGAGCATTGTCAGGACTGAGGGCGTCTTTCTACATACAGGCTCTATATGCCAAGCAACAGAAATACAGTACTAATAATATTATAGTTCTTTACTCTGGAGTGGTGTATTAAATGTGACATTTATATCTTGAACTGTGGTTCTTTAATATTCTACTTGGAGTAAAATGTGCACCCATTCATTTTGAATCAGTATTTACACAAATGAATGGCAAGTGTTATTTCCAGAATTCTGAATATGAAATGAGGTTTTTAGACCTCTGAATCAGGATAACAACTAAACTTCAGGTAATGCTTGAAACCCAAAATAGACAGCAATGCCAGAGTGGCTTACCTAGAAACAGTATATAGAGGCTGAGTAAAGGAAGAACTGCTTTGTTCTAAAAATCAGGAAAAGTGCTATTGTAACATTAAGTTGGACTATGTTGTAGTCTTGAGATACTTGAATTACCACAGGCTAAAGGCCTCTTATTCATAAGCATGGCCTTTGCTAAACCAATGCTAAAAGTATTGGTTTGAATATTTGTTTTTCGTTTCTGAAAGTAATGTTGGCACTAAATGCACTATCAATTAAAAAACAAACAAACATTTGTTATAAAAACTAAAGATAAAATTGTATAGGAATGTTTAAATTAACCATTCACAAGCTCGTTTGTATTTCAAGACTTTCTGTTGGGTCTCATTGTTTTTAAACTCCACTCAAATGAAATTTCACATGGTGAAAACAGACTTGAAATGATTATTTTAACATTATTAGATTTAAAGCAAGAGAATATCAGATTTATAAATAAGTCATTTACATTGCGAGGATATCAGCACATTGTCTGTTTCTCAGGAGTTGCTAATTTGGGAGAGACATTTTCTAAAATTCTGTCCTAATAGTGATAACAAAACCACCTAGCCACCATATTCACACATAAGCACCAATTAAATGAGTTGATATAAATGTGCCAATTTATATAATATACTGTAGATACAGAATTTATATCTATCTATTTCTAACTGCTTCTTTCAATTAAGTGTCATGGGGGAGCTGGAGCTATCCTGGCCAGCAATGGGCGTAAGCCAGGATACACCCTAGATGGGACACCAGTCCATCACAGGGCAGGCACAGAGACACAAACACAGCACTCACAACAGAGCCAATTTTTCCAGAAGCCAATTAACCTACCAGCATGTCTTTGGACTTGGGAGGAAACTGAAACATCCAGAGGAAATCCATACAAACACAGAATTAGACCCGGGGCCCAGTGTTGTGAGGCAGCAATGCTCAACACTCTGGTACAGTGCCACCCTAGTATAATATATAATTTTCTAATTGTATGGATCCAAACTGATAAATACATGTACCAGATTCAATTATTGTGGGATATCATAAACAAATCTTGCTAAAACAAAGCATGCTAAAAACCCCATGTTGCAAAAATGAGTGTCAAAGGCATGTTAGATACATTTCCACAAATCATTACAGAACAGAACATAGAGCAGGTGGTCTATGATCATCTTTTAACTTTGCTACAGATTTTAATATGAAAAAAGTGTTGGTCAATTATATTTAAACAATGTTAATTAGTGCAGCAGCTCTTGGAAGCTTTAATATGTTGCATCACCACATGCCTTGCATAACTGTAAATGACAGCCAGGAAATTATTATAATTCCTTTCTTAGAAATGAATTCAGCAGAAAACCACAATACAGCAGCAACAGAGAAACACCTGTGTTGTGAAAAAGGAAAGGTAAACAAAGCCATTCACAGTAGACTACCTACACTTTGGAACCCAGGTGGTTCACAACATTGCTTCAGGTTGCTATTGGGTGCTTCCTTTTAGGTTTCAAATGAATATTTGCTTAGACATTGTTGTTTATTAAAGCAGACCTATAGCTGCACTATACTATAATACTAAATCAACATCTTTTTCCTTTCACAATCTTGGAAATCTGATATTTCAGTTTTTGCACCTCTTCTAATCTACAATATTAAAGGTGACAAAGGGCAGACAGAAAAGGATAATCTGTTTAGTACTGTCTACATCTTATACATTACACCACAATTGACATGACTTACACATTTTAATGCTTTTATTTCATTTATTACTTCACTGTCAATTTTTTGCACTGAAAATGACTAATCAATCTTCTGTTTATGCCCTCATGTGAAATCATCAGTTTCTAATTAACCTGACAAACCACTGAATCACCAAAGAAACCTGGGGCAATATGAGACACAAAGCCTTCCAAGACGTGTGTGCTGTTATACTGACTGATGTGAATGATAATTATAATGCACACATGATCATCATATAAAAGAAAGACATAAATGAGAATGATAGACCCCAGTGCAGCACATATCAACCCAGTAAACAGGATTTTATGTTGCTTGGTGAGCAGAATCTGCCCTGGTCATCCCCACCCCACAAAATCCAGAGGTCACAAGTAATATAACCACATTAGCAGTGACTATCAACCAATGGGCTCACCTGCACCTGCAACCTATGTCCTAGCCTAAAACTGAACTCTTTTTCTATCCAAGCAGTATATTTTCTCCGAAGAATATCTTGCAATTCGTGTTCATACACAACTGCCATATGCACAGAAGGCACTTTGGCCCCAATTGGAAAGTTATAACAATTTTAATGATTTAAAGAAAAAAAACATTGAAAATGTTTAAAAAATGCAAAACATTTAATCTGTGATACAGGGAATGGTAATGTTTAAAGCTTCTAAGCTTTAGCAGAATCTTGAGCTAAGATGGGTGACAAGTTTTAAAGAGGATTTTGATCAATGGCAATGTCATGAAGAATGTCTCTACCTTTATCAAGTACAGGTCCAAAGATTGCCAAGTTGTCATTAATCGTGGTGCAGTTCCACCTCCGGCCCCTGAATTGATGCTGGCACTCTTGAATGCCAATCTTGACTCCCTCAGCTACACTGGGCATGATCTCTACATAATTCCGGCAGAATCGCAGCTGCTTGGGCACCAGACCAGGGATGCTTCCACACAGGATGGGTTGAGTTCCCAGAGATGAATACTGATGCCCCACAGCTAGAGACCTGAAACACACATGGAAGAGAACAGGTTTGGATGAGTACACCTGCAGGAACCAAAGCCAAAGAGCTAACTTGGATCTCATCTTTGTTACATGCTTTTGGAGGAGTCATCCCTTTAAAAATCTATAGGATAATGTTGCTTGAAATGTTGTTGGTCTGATCTGAGATCATCTGGTAATCTAAACCTCCAAGGCAGCATTCTCTAAACACAATAACACAAAATAGTGAGCAACTACTTGCACCAAGAGATTTGTTTTTCTGCAATCATCACATAAACTTCCTTCTTAACAGTATGTAGCTAAAGTATCCAGTTACAACACAGGATTATTGTGATCCACTACATTCAACGTTTATTCATTATAAATGTTTAATTCCAATACAATGACCAGATACTGCCAGAACGTATTGTATTAATATACACATTTTAAAACTCACGGAACATCATAATGAAAGCATGGCAATTAGTACAGGAAATCAGTGATAAAATTGTAATATTATTATGGCAAACACTCATAGTACTTCAAAATATGATAGAATCATGAACAAACTCTACATTCTATACAAAAGAAAGATGACAAGAAATGAAAACTGTGTATGTTAAAATTGTAGTAGTTAATTCTAGACTGAAAAGTAGACAAAAACAACATCTCAGCCAAAAGTATTGTGAATGGAGATAATTTGTGTAGTCTGTCCAACAGCAAGCAGATTCCAGTCCCTTTAACCTGTGGTATTAGTGAACTTTACACATAGCATGCTGGAAGTCCTCAGAAACAGGTTTCATTGTGTCAGAAGTGGTAAAGAGTAAATTCCTCTGTCTGAAGGATATGTTTGTGAAAGTGTTCAACCCATAGAGCAAATTGCTCAGCTAAGCCAAGTTTTGCTCTTGTTCACCATAGATTACCCCCAGAAATCTTTGTTTGAATGGGTGGTTTACAAAAACACTGCCAAGAATTTCTCAGGGATAAGCACTAAGATCCATTTTTTGTGAATATGTATTTTCTTTTGTTCTGTACTTTGTATACTGCTTATAAATTTTATTTAACAATACTGAACACAATCTTACTGAAAAGGTGTCTCTGACAAATAGACGCAAAAGGATCTACAGAGCTTAAATAAAACACCATTCCAGTTCTAAGGGTTCTGCTTGGCATTAGTGTCTTAACTAGTCATCTTTCTCATAACTGTAGTCTGCAATTCTGTAACACTCTTCTACAATGTAATGACTGACACGCATATGGGAAAACTATATACACACACAAAATGATAAAGCCCTGGGAATTGATGGCAGTGAAAATGAAGGGCCACGGCACTTTTTTAACAAAAAGATTAAGTGTCTTTTAAATCTTCATTAAGATTATTAAAACAATGTCCCGTTAATGTGGGAGTTGTGCTGTTCTTCTTTTTTCTTTCATCTCATTCATTTCATTTCATGTTCTTTCATTTTTCTGTGTGGAGGGAGGAGATAAATATGATTTCCTTGAAGATATTAATAAATAAGAGATACAATGCACAAACTGTCACTAAAAAGAGTATTTTTAAGAATCATATTTTTTGTTTTTTTTTTCTAATTTGTTCCTGCAACTACATATCTAATGTATACATTTACATGTACATGTTCATGTACATTATATGAATACAGACTGACATACTGTATTAATACTGCACTGTGTACTGTAATAATGTGTTATGCTATGCTAGTTAACCTACTAGTTAATCTGTAACATATGCTATTATGAGAGGCAGTAATATGACTGTAACAATTCTAGTGCATGCCCACTTTTTACCTCTTGAAATGATGTAAGGAGTTACAGCAAAGTTATATGATTAATTACAATTATTATATCTTTGTTAATTGTATCATGGATATATTAAGAAATTAACGTACTCTACTATAGATGTTTTTAGCTTATGTTCTGAATTAGTATGCTGTATACAGTGCCATTAACAAGCATGAGAAGATTATATTACACATAATATTTGGCACACCTTAACTGCTTAGCTACCCATGGTAGAGTCCCTTGCAAAAGTATACACTTCATTTCAATGATGCCCCATTTTGTTGAATCACACATGAATTAGACATATTTTTAAAAGTAAATTGTTTTAATTTAAATTTGAACGCTCAAACTAAATGTCTTTACTGTAAGGATGAAAGAAGTTAAATGTCAGCAAAAACAAGCAGATTTCAGATTTATTTATTTTGTATCTTGGACTTTGACTGGGTCACTCAAGAAAACTTATTTAAATCTTGCTAAGCCATTCCAATGTAGCGTTGAGTTTTATGTAGCCTTGAGTTTTGGGTCATTGAAAGGTGAATTTTTTATAGGTTTACCTCCATGGTTTGACTGTACTTTGCTCCACTTTCCTCTCAATCTTGACAGGTTTCTAAGTCCCAGATAACAGGAAACAGCCACAAAACATAGTGCTGCCACCACCACAGAAGCATGCAAGCATAAGAATCACCACTATAACATAAAGCTAATACAGCTACAGTATAATAAGGATGGATGGTGTTGACTTGGTTATGGTCTGTGTTGAGTCTGTGAGAAAAATGCAGATCTCCTTGTTACTGCAGGGATTTGATCCTGGACAGGTGGGATCCACTCCATAACACTCGCTAACTCATCCATGCCTGAAGACGGCGTCCTCTGCCATGGTAGAGTTTTACTCTGTCTTAATTTCAGAGAGAAGTGACCGGCATTCTGTAACTCATTTAGTGCATTGAGCCCTGTTACATTTTGCACCGGACTTAATACTTTGAATTTAGACCACAAGTTTGTCATGTCTGAACATAATACCTGTTTTTGCAGTGTGCAGTATCATTTAAATCCCTTTCTGCCAAACTCTGCGCATGATTTGAGATGGTTTATTTGCATACAGGCCAGCTTTGAGGGGCAAGAGGGAGAAGAGGGATGTTATTGTTTCATGGACATATTCTCCCATTTCAGCCACTGAACTCTGTAGCTCTTTCAAGGTTTTTCAGGCTTATACTGTATACTCTCTAAATCAGGCTTTCAGGCTGCTCAGTGGTGGGAGAGCCTGGTTTAGGAAGTGTACAGGTGGTACAATAGCTTCTAGGCTTAATGATTGACTTCAGGGGTTTCCAGTACATTTGAAATTCCTTTACCCTCTTCTCCAAATCAATGTCTTTCCACAGCTTTATTAATGAGTTGTTTTGAAAATTCTTTAGTCCTCTTGATTGAATGTTGGGTAGAAACTCACTACTTGATTGAAGGACCTTACAGAGACAGGTGTACTTATTCTGAAATCATGTGAAGAACTATTAATACACACAAGGAGGCCATCCAGCTTTGAACTAATTCAGGTTTGTTATAGGTTTTCCTAATCAAAAAAATGGTGAATACATATGCAATCAACACATTTTAAATTCTGAGTGTTTTTGCTGACATTAACTGTATCTTCCTTCCTCTCACCCACAGTGTTTAAAACGGCCATTCAGGTTTTTATAAAAAATATTCATTACAAAACTGAGTATAATTCAACAAAATGCAATGCATTGTATATTGATTCAATGTCCACAGGCATTTCTTAATTAATCACATGAAATCTCTTTATATATTACTAGTTGGAAGTTTACTTTACAGTTTACTTTATTTTACACCTAAAACTTTTTTTATTACAAAATTGCCTGTTATTTTTTTATTTTTGGATTCTTTTACATCAAATTATTTTTGCTTTCACTGTTTGTGTTAACAATTTTGGTTGATGTCTTCATCTTTCAGGAGTTCAGATACTCTAATCAAATCTCTACAAGATCTTTATCCAGTCTAATGTGAGTTTTTCGTCTATTAAGGGTATGCTTTTCAGGTCTAGAAGTTCTCTGATTGGCCTGCTTTAGTTTCTTTCCAGAGCACTAATGTCCTTTTTTCTTTTGATGACCAAGCTGAAACTGCATTCTACAGTAAATGTCGTATTTATCCATCCATCTTCTAAACTGCTTTATCCAGTACAGAGTCATGTGGGTAGTCCATACTCACACCTAGAGAGAGTTTTCCCAGAAGCCAATTAATCTACAGTACCAGTATGTTGGACTGTGGTGGGAAACTGGAGAACCTGCACTCACACAAACGTGGCGAGAATATACAAACTTCACAAAGATTGCACCACAGAAATTGAACCCAGTGCCCTAGTACTAGTTCCCTAGTACTGTAAGGTAGCAACACTAACCACTGCGCCACCCTGCCATTCCACTAAATTTCTTATTTAAATGTTTTTATCAGTGAGATCATGTCAAAGTTGAGTAGGGGTAATGATTGTAGTTACCTGTTTGATTGTTTGTGGCAAAACATGCAACACATCCCACCTTTCCAAGCATTTTGGGATTGTTTTAAATTGAATGTAGGGACAAAATAAGAACTGACTCCTAAGAACTGTGGTTTTCAAGGATCCTGACAGCAGTTCTCCACCAATCCTTAAATCTATAAAAACATAAATAAAAAAGTCCAATGCTAAGCCCTACAATACTGGTAATGTATCTATTGGTAGTGTTCCAGGAACTGCTAACTCTTTTTTTCTGGGGCTTCATTACTTCATTACTTGAAAGAAAAGCAAGAAAAACTCTTCTTTCATCACAATACAAATACTGGGTCCTGCTAAGCAAAGAGTACAGTGGGAACACAAACTTTGCGAAAAGAACACTAAAGCACTTTAGTGGTACAAGGCTAGAAGAAAGTGACTTAAGGGATAGTGGCATCAAAGTTCTTATAAAAGCTTTTGATCAATGTGTAAGTACTTATTAGGGCGAGGCATTCCATGTTTAGACAAGCTGCCGTCCAAGGCAAGGTTAGCTTCTACAAACCCATCAGTGTTTAGACCCATGTTTTATACCGTTGCTGTGCTTTATGCACATTTTTCCACATAAAGTACATGTACATAACTGGAGAGGATTCCAGAAAATATTTTATATACATATATATATTTTATATATATGTATGTATATTTCTTTATTTTTACTTTTCAGCAAAGATGATGTTCCTTTGTTG